TATGGCCAGGAGCAGTGGCTCACGCCTGTAATCACAGCACTTTGGGAGGCCAAGGCAGGAGGATCACTTGAGGTCAGGAGTTGGAGACCAGCCTGGCCAATATGGTAAAACCCCATCTCTACTAAAAATACAAAAATTAGTTGGGCATGGTGGCGCATGCCTGTAGTCCCAGCTACCTGGGAGGCTGAGGCAGGAGAATCGCTTGAACCTGGGAAACAGAGGTTGCAGTGAGCAAAGATTGCACCAATGCATTCCAGCCTGGGCGACAGGGCGAGACTCTGTCTCAAAAATAATAAAATAAATTACTGCAACATAATGCAATACAATATAGAGCAAGACAATCCCCAGGTTGGGCACATGCTGCTAGGCCTCTGTGCTTCTGGTTCCTCCTCTGGTAAGTGGATGGGCATGGTGATGCCCACCTCCGTGGACTGGTTGAGAATTAACTGAGAGGACATTGTGTAGAGGGCATACACTGCGCCTGGTCCCAGATGAGGGCGCACTGAAGAGGGCTGCCACCATTCCCATCTCTGCTTCCCTGCCTCTCTTGACCAGTCTTTCCTACCTGATGACAGGCAGCATCATTACTTCAAAACACTGATTTTGTTACATCATTTTTCTGCTAAAAAAAAACTTGAGTCCAGGCCGGGCGCCATGGCTCACACCTGTAATCCCAGGACTTTGGGAGGCCAAGGATCATGGACCATGAGGTCAGGAGTTCAAGACCAGACTGACCAACAGGGTGAAACGCTGTGCCTACTAAAAATACAAAAATGAGATGGGTGTGGTGGCGGGTGCCTATAATCCCAGCTACTCGGAAGGCTGAGGGAGAGAAATGTTTGAACCTGGGAGGTGGAGACTGCAGTGAGCTGAGATCATGCCACTGCACTCCAGCCTGGACAACAGAGCGAGACTCTGTCTCAAAAAAAAAAAAAAAAAAACCAAAAACCAAAAACCTGAGTCCAGCAATTTCACTTGTATGAATAATTACGGGGGGTTATAAAGAGCCCTTAGAATGTGCATATCAGGCTGGGGGTAGTGGCTCATACCTGTCATGCCAACACCTTAGGAGGGTGAGGTGAGCAAGCTGCTTGAGGCCAGGAGTTCAAGACCAGTCTGGGCAACAAAGACAGAACCCATCTCTACAAAAAATAATTTAAAAATCGGCCAGGTGCAATGACTTGTGCCTGTGGTCCCAGCTACTCCAGAGGCTGAGAGGGCAACTGCTCGAGTCCAGGAATCTGAGGCTGCAGTGAGCTATGACTGCACCACTGCACTCCAGCTTAGAGCACAGACTGAGACCCTAACATTAAAAAAAGGGGATGGGGGTAAAGAATGTGCATACTGGTGAAACAGCATAAATATCTTTCATGTTTAAAAGCAGTAACTGGCTGGGTGCGGTGGCTCACACCTGTAATCCTAACAGTTTGGGAGGCAGAGGCAGGAGGATCACCTGAGGTCAGCAGTTCGAAACCAGCCTGGCCAACATACAGTGAAACCCCATCTCTACTAAAAAATACAAAAACAGCTGGTCATATTGGTACACGCCAGTAGTCCCAGCTACTTGGGAAGCTGAGGCAGGAGAATGGCTTGAACCTGGGGGCAGAGGTTGCAGTGAGCGAAGATCACACCACTGCACTCCAGCCTGGGCCACAAGGCAAGAATCAATCAATCAATCAACGCAGGGCCAGGCGCAATGGGTCAAGCTGTAATTTCAGCACTTTGGGAGGCTGAGGTCAGGATCACCTGAGGTCAGGAATTCAAGACCAGCCTGACCAACATGGTGAAACACTGTCTCTACTTAAAACACAAAAATTAGCCAGCTGTGGTGGTGCACACCTGTAATCCCAGATACTCAGGAGGCTGAGGCAGGAGAATCTCTTGAACCCAGGAGGTGGATGTTACAGTGAGTCGAGATCAAGCCACTGTACTCCAGCCTTGGCAACAGAGCAAGACTGTCTCTAAATAAATAAATAAAATAAATAAAAGAAAGTAAGCTATGTTGCAAGCATCTTGTAGACTCTATGGAACTAGGTTACCCAAGATGTTGTAGGACTGGTTACTGAGTGCCCAGTGACTGGTTAAGAGTGACTAAGGGAGGGCTCTAAACAGCTCTGCCCAAAGGAACTTTATGCAGGGATGGCCCCTGTCTATATTCACCGTCCCATTAGTAGCCACAGTGTCTCCTCAGCACTTGAAATGTGGCTAGTGCAACCGAGGAACTGAGTTATTTTATCTAATTTAATTTTAATTAAAATGAAAGTAACCACATGGCTGCTGGCTACTGCACAAACAGCGCAGCTCCAGAGTCAAGGGCAGAACTGCCAGGGCTCCCACCCTGGCTTCACCACTCCCAGGATGTGGAACCTGGGGCCAGTTTCCCAGCTTCTCTGTGCCTGACAGTCCTCATCTGTAAAATGGGAACAGCAATAACTCTTGCTGTGATGCCTGGCAGCTTCCACTGTATTACTGTTATTGTCGTTATTTGCTAGTCATAGCTACACATAGGCTTCTAACTGTTGGTACTCCATACTCACATCATTACATGAAAAAGACACATTATAAAACAATATATAGTAAGCTATCATTTAAAAAGTAAATCATATACAAAGAAAAACCTCCATTAGGACTTTCAACAAATTTAAGAATGGTTGTAGTCATACATTATTTTTCTTCTCTGTAACATTTATATTTTGCTTTCCTACAAAAAGGACACCATGCTTTATTATACAAAAATAATCCAGGACAAAGTGCCGGGATTACAGGTGTGAGCCACTGCACCCGACCTGGATTATTTGTGAGGCCAAGACCGGCAGATCACTTGAGGTCAGGAGTTTGAGACCAGCCTAGCCAACATGGTGAAAGCTGTCTCTACTAAAAATAAAAAACTTAGCCGGGCTTGGTGGTGTGCACCTATAATCTCCCAGCTACTTGAGAGGCTGAGGCAGGAGAACTGCCTGAGCCCGGGAGGCCGAGGTTGCAGTGGGCTGAGATCACACCACCGCACTCCAGCCTGGGCCATAGAGTGAAATCCAGTCTCCAAAATAAAAATAAAAATAAATAAACCAACCTTTAATTTCTCCCTGTTGCTAAGTAGGTGAAAGGTTCATCTAAGCCCTTTGGTCATCGGGGTACAGCCCACCTCTGTAGGTTTACTTTTCATGCTTCCTCTCCTCACCCTGGCTGCTCCCGGGAAACTGGCCAGGCCACCCGCCCACTGGGGCCGTCCCCTCCTGCCTGCGGCGCCTGGGCGGCCTGCCCGCCCAGCTGCGATGCCCTCGCCCTTTTTTTCAAATCTCTCTCGTGCCTGCATCCTTCTTCACTTACACTGCCACAAATCAAAGTGATCACCCCCCTTCCAATGTTGCTCTAACACAAATTGGTCCCCAACACACAGACTTTCTAGGACATATCCTCTTAAATAGGCCAAAACCTTACTTCGAGAGGAGCCGCCCCAGCACGTCACCACATCCCCCCCTCCACACTTAGTCTGCGGCCCAGGACACTCATCTCGCTTTCTATCACGGACATTCTCAAGCAGACGTAAAGGTAGAGCGTCCCCGAAATTCTTCAGACGGCTGACATTTTTTTTCCTTGGTGAGTCCTACGCCTGACTTCGCTAGTTAACAGTAGGGCAGTGACACAGTGCAAGAATAAAGTGACACGGCACCACGCCTAGCTCAGTGCATGTTGGCCAACAGGACGATGGTCGTCCTGAAATGCAAGCTGAGAATCATATGGATCTGTCTGCCTTCTCCCCGTCAGTAAGTCCTTGTCATCCTTCAGATCACGTCCAGGGGTCATTTTGTGCCCTCATTTACGCAACACATCTTTACTGAGCGCCAATTCTATGCCAGGGACCGTCCTAAGCTCTGAGGATACAACAGTGAAGACACTCTTATCTGTCTTCAGGAAGCTTACATTCTGAGGACAGATCAAATGCAGAACAAAACAGGCAAACAAAACAAACACAAACGGTCCAGCTGTGATAGATGAAACCTCTAAACGCCTTCCTCAACCCCACACACTTGGTCAGGTTCCTGTGTTTCGCGTCTCAGAGCGAAGGGGACGCTTTTTCTTCATGGCACTTTACCGTTTATAGGATCTGAGCTTTCTTCCATCAGAAACCATTCTCCCTTCTAGACCGTAAACACTCTGAAGGCAGGGACAGGGATCAGTACGGGACCCAAATGATACTAGGGACTGTCAGATCAACAAACTGATTCCTCTTTAACAAGATCTATGGCAAGTAGGACGTTTGCCGCCCCCCCCCGCCTCTTTTTTAAACCCTAAGAACTCCCTTGCCAACAGTCCCTGCAGAAGCCGTGGACAAGAGTTCGGAAATCTATTTGGCCACAAAAGCAGAAAAAACAAAACCCGTGCATCAGGGTGTGGTCCCATGGCCCAGCTGGGGAAACCAGGGCTCTCTCTTCCGGCTAAAAATAACCCGGCGCCCTACGGCCCGGGGGTAGGGTAGAGAGAGGAGGAAGGACTGGGGGTCCTCGCCAAGACCCCCCGGCCCGTTTGTTCTCCGAAGCCTACCCTGGAATAACCTTCTGCTTCATGCGGACCCAAGGACGAGGCAATGTTCACTGGAGGCTGCGGGTCCCCGAAGGCGAGCGCCCGGATTTGCCTAAACGGACCGAGCCTGGGTTGGCGGCTGCAGCCGTCCAGTCTGGGAATGGGGGGGTCCCCGCGTGTCCCCGAGCCGCGGTGCTGTGAGACCTTGGGCAAGTCACCTAACCTCTCTGGGCCCCGGTCCCCTCCCCTGTCAGAGAGGGGCCTCCACGGCAGCACGCTGAAGTCTAAAGAAGGCAAAAGCTCCCGGACCCCTCAAGGAGAAGACTCAAGCCGACTCCCGGGGCTCCGGATGCGCCGACGGCGCCAAGTTTCAAGTCTGTGTCGAGTGAGGCGGGCAACGGCGGGGTGAGGAGGGCGCTCGCCCGCCCGGCAGCTTCCCCTCGGGCCCGCCCCGAAGCCCCGCGTAGCGTCCCGCTCACCTCCAGAGGCGGGTGGGCTCGGACGAGGTCCCCGGCGGACTGTGGCAGACGCACTCGCCGCCCCTCGACTAGCAGCGGCATAGCGGAGGCGGTCGCCCCGACAGGCCCAGGGAGGCGGCGCCCCCGCCCCCCCGCGCCAGCCCCCAGCCACCCGCCGCCCCCGCCCCTCGGGCCGCGCGTACCGCCCCGTCCCGCCTCGACGCGGGCGCTGCCGGGAAGTGGAGTCCAGGAGGAGACTGCGCTAGCCGAAGAGAATGAAGAAATCCAGGACGGGGGCGGCAATGCCTCATGGGAAATGTAGTCCAAAACCAGGGAGCAGCCCCGGAAGCAGCCCGCGGCCCGCCTCCTCTGCAAGGGGCGCTGGGAAGTGTAGTCCCAAAAGCGTGGGAGGGCGGGAAGGAGGGAGGTTGGGGAAAGGGGAGAGGACAGGGAGCAGCTGCGCGAGCCAAAGAGAGCCTCAGGGCGAGTTCCTCGGACCGACGCGGTCTGGCTCAGGTTTCCGCGCTTTAGGTTATTCTTCCATCACGCTTCCCAGGTGTGTGACCTTCCGCAAGCTTGAGTTTGGGACCCAGCTGCACTGCTCCGTAGGACTGTATTCAATGAGTAATAAACCTAATCAGGAGGACACGCTGGCTCACGCCTGTAATCCCAGCACTTTGGGAGGCCAACGCGGGAGGATTGCTTGAGGCCAGAAGTTCGAGACCAGCCTGGGCAACACAGCGAAACCAACCCTCCTCCATACCCTCGTCTCTGAAAAAAATTTAAAAACTGAGCATGGTGGCATGCACCTGTAATCCCAACCACTCTGGAGGCTGAGGCAGGAGGATCCCTTGACCCCAGGAGTCGGAGGCTGCACTGAGCTATGTTTGCACACTGCAGAGGGAGACCCTGCCTTTAAAAATAATAAAAAGAAACGTCAACAGTTTTTTTTTTTTTTTTTTTTTTTTTTTTTAGAGAGGGTTTCACCATGTTGGCCAGGCTGGTCTCAAACTCCTGACCTCAAGTGATCCACCCACCTCAGCTTCCCAAAGTGCTGGGATCACAGGCGTGAGCCACCATGCCCGGCCTAACGTCAACAGTCTTAAACTGAGAAACTATATCCTGAACTGTGCTAGCCTCATGTATTAAGAGATCATCGATAACACTTCGTGATTGGAATCCAACAGGCCACTCACAGATGGGCTGGGAACCATGGGGGAAGGATTTGCAGATACTGACTGCACCCCCTCAACTCTGAAGACAGGTCGCCAAGGTAAGAGCTCACCTTGGAGCTCTCTTCTAAAAGTTGGAGACATTGCTCAAATACATCCGACTCTGCAGCACATTAACAAAAAGTAATTTTACAAAAGATATAGTGGTGAGTTTAAGAAGAGGAGCCACATGATATGAGCAAAAACTTTATTCGAATTTTATCATCTGTATTCGTCTTCTTTCATAAATCTCTCCCTCAGCTTACACATCCCATTCAACAAAAATGCCAGGAAATTTACTAAAGAAGTGACTGTAGAAGATGGTGTCCCCATCACCAGCTTACCCAACTTCTCACCCAAAATAGCTCTATTTCTAGCTACCAAGAAATTATTTCTCTGTATTATTACACCTACATTTCTCACTTGCTCCTCACAAATGTAGGAGCCAGTACCAACACCTCCGTTATTACAGAGTAACTTGCTCAAAGTGGTAGAAATACATAGTAGAACAAAGACTGAGCCCAGCTTTGTGTGATTCCAAAGGCAGTGCTCTCCATCACTATAAGATGCTCCTAGACTGTAAACAACTCGTTGTAATGCAGGTGAAATTTTAAGTCCCAATTAGGAAGCGTGTGGCTAAAAACAGGGCTTGAATCCAGGGTGATCAACGACCAGCAGGCTGGCCTGGAGCAAGTTACTTAACTTCCCTGAACTGGTTTTCTTACGTGTAGAAGAATGGTCATAGCCTCAGTTTGTTTCATCTGGTATGTACTAAATCCTCTAAAGAATTGCAGAGCCAAGAATAGTCAATAAAAGTGAGGCATTTGGGAAGTGCAAAGGTGAAGAACAAGGTTCTGTGGGTTCTCCCTGGGGCTAGCACAGTTTGCCTTAAACTGGTTTTTCACTTTTGGGTGATCTTTTTTCAAGTAATCTCAGATTATCAGTCTCCTAGGCTGAATCCTATGTTAAAGAACTAAGTGAGCCAGAAAACAAGCAGAAAGCCCCTCTACCTCCCTTCCCATCTCAGCCCCACCAATTTTGGTCTACAGCCAATAAGGAAGCAAGAGCAGGTGTGTGGCCAGCACTACGGCTCATGCCTGAAACCTTAGCAGTTTGAAAGGCTGAGGGAGGACTCACTTGAGCCCAGAAGTTCGAGACCAGCCTGGACAACACAGGGAACCCTGCCTTTCCAACAAATAAAAATTAGCTGGAAATGGTAGCGGTCCTATAGTCCCAGCTACTCAAGATGATCAATAGGGCGCTCCTGCCTGGGTGATAGAGATTCTGTCTTAAAAAATTTTTTTCAAATATTTTAATATAGAGATGGGTGTGTCACTATGTTACCCTGGCTGATCTCAAACTCCTGGCCTCAGGAGATCCTCCTGCTGGTCTCCCCTAGTGCTCATTTTACAGGCATGAGCTATCATCTGTATTCATCTGCTTTCATAAATTTCCCCCTCAACTGTCTCCAACTCCTGACCTCGTGATCAGGTTGCTGAGGTGGGCGACCTCAGCCTCCCAAAGTGCTGGGAGACCCAGGCCCCAAATTATTATATACATTATAAATGCCACTCAACGATCCACAAGTCAGAATGAAATACACAAAAGGAAAGCATTTAATGGAAGAAAGCATGGTGGAGCTTTGGATGTTCAATTAGTTGACAATTTAAAAAAGTATGCAGTTGCAAACCAATGAACAGTTCTTAATGCAGCCTGCACCTGTGAATCACCAGGGGCCTTTAAAAAACATCAATGTAGCAGAGCCCAGTGGCTCACACCTGTAATCCCAGCTCTTTGGGAGGTTGAGGTGGGTGGATCACAAGGTCAGGAGTTTGAGACCAGCCTGGCCAACATGGTGAAACCCTGTCTCTACTTAAAGTACAAAAATTAGCCACACATGGTGGCGGGCGCCTGTAATCCCACCTACTTGGGAGGCTGAGGCAGGAGAATCTCTTGAAACTGCAAGGTGGAGGTTACAGTGAGCCGAGACCATGCACTGCACTCCAGCCGAGGTAAAAGAAACTCTGTCTCAAAAAATGAAAAAAAAAAAAAAAAAAAAAAGAAAAAAAAGCCCATCAATGTCCAAACTCCTCCTCTGGAGACTAGTTCAATCAGAGAGGATGAATTAGTGTGTGATGTGAGCCTGGGCATCCTTAGCTTCTCAGCGCCCCCTGAGGCATTGGATTCTAGGGCATAGCCAGGATTAAGAACCACCATCATAAGCACTGCCCAGCAATGGAAACACACTGGTTCCTCCTCTCCAGTTCAGATCTTAGTTGGTACCATGGAGTGAGGTATTATGGAAGAAATGAAGTTATCTTTAAGTGAAAAAAAGCTTCCCATGAAAGTGCTTCCTTTCTCACAAGAAAACACTGGCCCATTAACTTTTACATGCATCAAATCCTTAATGCCTTACACTAGTGTCTTATTATTCCCATTTTACAGTTTAATTCGCGCTCAGAGAGGTTATGTAACTTGCTTAAGGTCAAACAGCTGGTTAGGAAAGGAAGCCCGTGGCACTCTGTAGTTGCTAGTCCTTTCACATTTCTATAAATTCAGTCACTTCTCATCAAGGAAGATCCAACCAGAGCACACAAACAAAAGGACAGACCCTGGAGACTCCTAAAACTGACAGCTTGCTTTTTAGTAAAAGAGAAAATTCCCATTGTTGGCTTGTAATTTATAAGGAGACTTCACAATATTTTTCCCCACAGATATCCTTCAAAGCATGTTAAGTTTTTGAAAGAAGTGTCTGCTTCCCTGGGACCTGTTCAGGCCTCACTCACTCAGCTGGGTGTGATTAGGGAGAGTCGTGGATACTTCACACTGTGCACATGGACGCCATCCTTACCCTGGCATGCCATAAATTTCATCAAGCTTCCCACCACACCAGCACTATTCCTCCCTCAATAGCGATGCCTCAGGGGTTTTCCACTGCAAAATGCTTTAATACATTAAATTAAAAAATAACAAAAAACAAATCAAAAGAACATGTATCGAGGTACCTTTTATTGGTATAAGAATGAAAGTTCCAGAAAATTAACCATATCATTGTTTTATTTTCACCATGGATCTTTTTTTCACAAACTCCTTTGAAGTTAAACAGACTTATTCGTAAGCATCTTTCTACATTAAAACTACTTCCCAATCCACAAAGACCCCACTTACTATTAACTTATGGGGAATTTCATTCACTCATTTTATCTGATATACAAAAATCCACATTGTGCCAGCAGTTAAAAAAGAGAACCTTAAGATTCTCAAATGACTTTCCATCAAGCCACCAAAAGAAAACCACCGATATCCAAAACTTTAAAGCAATAAAAAAAAAGTATTTACAGACTGAAATTCACAAACTATGCATTGCCATCAGTGTAATTATACAAGAAAATATAAAGCCCTGGGAAAGAAGAAGTATTTCATTACAAAATATTTGTGATCTCTCAACAAGCTTCAACAATGAGACTGGGCAAAAAAGGAAACAACAAAACAAAACAAAAAAACCAAAATATTTGTGATCAAGAAAATATTGCTTGCCTTTAAATAAATAGAAGTGGCAGAAAAATAAATATGCTTAAAGATGGCCATTTTCAGGGGCAGAGCGTAAAAAAAAAAAAGATGGCCATTTTCACAAGTAAACCAAAAAAGGTACACATGTTAAGAAAGCGAAAATGCTTGAGCTTCAGAATGACTCTAGCAGTGTTTGCACAAATTTGTTATTAAAGTCAAGTCTTCTGAAGACCTCTTTTTAGTTATAAAAATACAAAAAGAGGCTTTGGAGAAGGATTTCACCAAGTCGAATCTATGATATGCACAGCCACAGACGAAGACTGCACTAGGAACTTCCACCTATTGTTGTGAGCAAAACCATTCCACCAAACAATCTAAAAAAATGTTTCCTGTTGGAACAAAGAAATTCTCAATAACCTACTGATGCAGATCAAAACTGACTTGATCTAACTGCTACCGAAGAGCAGTTCTAGATCTAACTGGATGC